AAACATTTAGCCTGGCTTTGTTCCAAGGTAACAAAATCTGTCTACCGGCATCTCTAAAGTTCACTGATAAACACGTTATATGTTGTTTGTTTAATGCTATTCTGCGCATGCGCTGTCTGCATCAGCTCAGTCGCCAGCAGCTAACTAGCTCTCCTCCTGTTGACATAAAGCGCTCCGTTCAGTTTGTCATTAGCTAAGCGATGGTTTGCCTTACCTACGCATGCAAATTAAGAGAGGAACCATTTGTATTGCGTAACGGAGACATGAGTCCAAATTGAAGCAGTAGTTGATCACGTGCGGCCGCTACCGGTCAGTAGTCAGTAACAGTATAGAACAGTCAATGTTGTCAATAAAACATGTTTTCCAAAAGTGTTAGTCACTGGAACACGAGAGGTCCTTCAGCATACAGGGATAAATGAGCACGAAAAATATTAGACGATGGGTCCAGTAGTATGCGAGATTAGCTGTGGACAGACAGACGGACACAGAGACGCACACATGCGATCGAATACATAATCTCCTGGCGGACATAATGATATCACGTTTAGGTCTCTTTTAAGTACCTTAGGCCTACATGCGTCTTGATTAACATTCTTAGTTTCATTTTGTATTGTAAATTATAACTTCTCTCAGCTCCTGAATGTCTGTTTTTACCGATTGTAACTGTGATGCCGGTTGATTCTACTTATTTGCTCATTATTTAAATTCAATAATACCAACAAAGCATCTGAGCTCCACTCTATTCTGGGATAGATCACATCCTGAACACCAGATATTTTCCAAGGGACAAGAAATATAAAGCTTTTATTTTACCGGCTATACATTACAATACAACACTACTGTGTTTTGGCTATGTAACTGTATTTTTCTAATTAATATCTACACCAGATCTCAATATTTCCTTTCACCTTGCTGCTGGTGTTCTGAAGCTCAGCAGTTAACAAGGAAACAGGTAGATGTGTAAATGCCTTGAAGAAGATACTAACGGATCTCTTAGCCATTTTTTACAACCCTCTGTGTACTTATTTCTTGGTTTCCTCTACAACTGTCCCCAGTGGAAGCTCCACTGATTGTTGTCTGACAGCTCCCTTTCCCTCACCACCTGGCTCGGCATCCTGTTTGTTATGCACACAATTGAGCTGTTGTCTCTTCAAAGAGTGAACTGTGCTTAAAAGGTTCACTGGTTGTGTGCATATATTTACTATTGGTATCTGGATAACACATTCTAACAGTGGAGACATGTATCAGATTACTATATCAGATATTGACCACACGTTGATACATTTTCCTACCACAGTGTTGATTAATATCCATACTTACAGTCGGTGTCTCTGTCTCTCCGACAGGACAAGACGCTCTCAACGAATACCTGAAGACGAAGGCGGTCACCATCGAGTATTAGGTCAAATCACAGAAGGAAGAGGAGGCGAGACAGCAGCTGCATCCTGAGGCATGGACATGTGTGGACACTGACCGAGTAGAGACATGCAGAGGGATGGACAGGGTCATGTGGACAACGGACTAATCAATGAAATCAACTTTTAGTTTCTCATTAGTCACTACTGACCAATAATACTGTATGTGCCTTAACATGTTAAATTAGTCTAACACCGAGCCATGTTGTAGAAAGTGTTGTCCGGAACTATGCAAATGAAGAAGTGACCTCTGAGACTGTTTTGTAATCAATGACATGTCATGACATGTTTCACAGATTGCATTCATTTCTAATATGGCTTACATTAGGTCAGAAAAGTCTAAAGAAATGTAACATTTCTAATAAGAATGTTTTTGGTTATCAATAAAAACTGCTGAGCACCATCACTGCTGTGTCCCTCTTTATTCATGTTGCATTGGTACATCTCTGCTTAACTTCATGATGCAGTTGAATTTAGATAAAACCCACCAGTGTTGCCCAGTAACATAAGCAGCATGTACGTATGCAGGCAACATGCATGTTCATACAAACCCAGGGTTCCCATGTATCCTGGAAAACCTGGAAAAGAGTTGATCAGTTTTCCAGTCATTGAAAACACGTGACATGAAAACGGCCGATTCAGTGTCAGCCCTTACAAGTTTTAATACAGGAACAGACAGAAGTTATGAGGAGCTGCTAAGAAATCTTGTTCATTAACTCCAGAACGGTTCGACAACATAAATATCTGGTTCATGTGGATTGACATGAGAGACGGTAATAGAAAGAGGTTGGCTGACAGTGGCTTCTCTCTCAACTTAGGTTCCAGAAATCACCACCCGAGCCTGAAGTGACCGGTCAAATCACAAATAGTCCGGTAGATCCAGATGGAAAACTTTATTGCTGAGTTTGTCTTGACAGGGTGTACAGAAATACCTTTGTAGTTTGTCTTTGTGAGGTGTGTACGTGGTTTAGTTCAATGGACGCATGCAATAGTCAAACAAAGGCAGTAACACCCGTTTTAGCGTCATTTGCCAAACTACTGGAATGACTAGCAAAAGAAAACAGGAAGATATAATATTCATGACAAATAAGCAAAGATTAAAAAAATTAAAAAAATGAATATGACAGTTGATGGGTATATGGGAGTTTCAGTGTTGGGGAAGTTGTGGATGATTGTTTACAAGTTTTTACTGTTAGTATTGGTAGTAATCATAACAGAGAACACATCAAAAAGAAGAATATGAGTCCTGTGTTACACAGCACATAACTGCCATAACTTTATTCAGTTATTCAGACACAGAGAGAACTGCTCCAACGTGTCAGAACAGATTATTATTTCTACACTTCTGAAATGGAATGTGTTACAAACATCAATAACATGTTATAGCATAACTTTATGAGTTTTAAGTAAAGTGACAGCACTGTATGAGGTTATTAGCTATTGTATGAAAGCTAGAACATACTTATGAGGACTTATGAACAGTATTTGAGGGCTGTGAGTGAAGTGTGAGACCAAAGAAAAATTCACAATGATCAAAGACATGTCAAGTCTTTATTTTCCATGAATTATGATAATAATCCATAAATGAATTAGCTGTGTATAAATTGATTCAACATTCATCTTTCTGGTGCAACTGTGTGAGTGATTATTTTCCTGACATCAACCTGGGCCCTGGTCTACCTACACACCTGCTGCTCATCAGCTCCTCATCTCTGCAGTGTTTCCACCCTGGCTCTTCCCCCACTGGTCGCCGGCTCTATTGTCCCAGCTGCTGTGGTAGTTCATGCTTCAGGCCTCAGTAGCGTTTGCTTTTTTTCCTTGCATTGCTTTGGAGAATGACATGAACTGTTCCCCTAGTGCAACCTCACCATCGTCCTGCCAGGTCTGCCATCCAGCACGGTCACCATTGGTTCCATAAATAGGCCCAATCCCAGTCTCCACACTCACTGACTTTGAGGCGCGTTCCCCGCAAAGTATTGATAGTATTGTGACGTTAAACACGGGGTTACCAGTGGAAGCTGGAGACGTAAAAACAAAAAATGTACGCAAAGAGGACGGAACATTGGTGTTCAGCCTGGCATATTACATTTTGGGCCACAAACCTTCTCCTCATGCTGCGTTCACACCAAACGCGTCGCGAATTCATCACGCCGCATATTCGCGTCCATCGCGCCGCCGGTCAAAACGCCGGGGACCATTTGTGTCCATGTGTGAATCGCGCGAATCGCGCTGGACGCGCCGGAGAGGGGGCGCGGCTTATCGCCCTGAAAGCCGTTCAACTGTCCGCCATTAACCATGAAAAAAATAACCTATTTCTGCTTAGTACGTGTTGTGGAAGTCACAGAGATCCCGGGAAACTAAACGCCGTCATGTCTGGGTTCATAATATTGTCCAGAGGAGCTCCATGGATTTTTTTGAGGTGTATTCACTATGTCTAGCAAGCCACACGTCGCTGTTTACTACAGCTGTATGAACACAAAATAAACTGATTTGGCTGTGATTTAACGGCAATAAACCGACAAAATGGGACTCCGAAATAACTACGTAATGATGCCGATTTGATCGTAGAGCTCTGGGTGAACACAGACGGCTACAGTATTTATTTCCTGATTCAACAAAAGCAGGAAGTCAGTGATGACAGGAGAAACATCTCAACGCTGATAGGCTATCGCGCCACAGCGTCACGCGAATATTTCTCAGAAGTTGAAAAATTTCAACTCGCGCGTTGGGGCGATTGCGCGCGTCCATCGCGCCGCAAATTCGCGTCCATCGCCCGGCGCCAATCTCATCGCGTCTGTGCATAGACTTTGTATGTAATCTACTCGCGCGAATAATTCGCGACGCGTTTGGTGTGAACGCAGCATGAGTCTCTGCAGCGTCCAGTCTATCCTCAGTCCAACATGAGAGGACGAAGACGTAGAGCTGCCCCGAGGGATTGTCAATAATACATCCATGGTTCTCATACGTTTTTTTTTTGGATTAATTCCAAAGGTGAAAAAAAACAGAAAACGCCAGGCACTCTTCCAAGTTTCAGCAGTTTGATTAGTAGTTAGTTCAGAGTTTTTGCTTTTTTAACTGATTGCTTTACATTTAAATTGTATGGAACCAGTAGTGGAGGGGAAATGCAGAGCCTTATTTCGATGGACCAGGTGGCTAGGTATTTTGTGTTGCACCTTTAAGCTACTGACCTCTTTTTATCTTTCTTTAAATTACCATTATTTTGGCAAAATCACATTTAAGTAATGATCAGCACTGGTATTGTTAGCTGATCGTTCGACATGTTACTAAAAATATCGGTAACATCGCAAATTAAAAAAGTTTAATTTAAAAAAAAAGTTTAATTTAAACGTGCTTTAGTTGTAGAAAACACAGGTTGCAGTATGAAAAGTACATTACGATAAACTTTCTTCTAATTTAAACTCGTCCCACCCTTAGACTGTATAGTCCCATCAGGTAGAGCATCACACAGGACGGAGCTGTGCTGCCCTCAGCTGGACGGCAGCTGAATTGTCCATCATGCCGACATGTTTTTCATAAAAAACACGGTGGGTGCTTTTGGCTCTTAGAGCACAGTGAACAGCCCCCACTCGCCCTTTTCATTGGTTCCTTCTGAGAGCTTTGGGATGGGCACAATTCTGGTGGAGCGGGTGCCACAACAATGCCTGGAGAGGCTCTCCGTCAGGGACAGGGAGTGGAAGAAGAAGGTGCCGTGGAGCAGCAACAGGCCTGATGTGGTCAGGTAGCGCGAGCCTCAGATGTTATTTGTTATTTTGCAGCGACAGCTGACGGTGACAGAGATGCTCTCGTGCCTCTCTCGAGCTGTCGCCTCCGTGGCGACACGGGGATGCTCGCGTGTTCGCGCTTTGATCTCCAAACGCGGTGCATTAGTCCGTCGTCTGTGTTACAAAAGAGACCCGTCGTGTGTGCACTGCATATAGCTAGATATACGTTTCTATATTTCCTTTATGCCACGTTATTCGGTTAATTGGTTGTGTTTAATGTGAAATGCTTTTTTCTTTTATTTTTTCAAGCACCAAAATGGGCAGGCGGCAGTCACAAAGGAAGTCACTGCAACCAGAGTATACGCCGCCAAGTCAGAAAAATAACAATGAGAAGGTAAGCGTGAGGTAGAGCCGAAAGCACGAGTCAATTAGACAGTCACAGAAATTAATCGGCAACCATTTTTATAATCGATTATTAATTTTTCAAGCAGAAATGCCCAACATTTGCAGATAAGAGCTTCTCGGATGTGTGTGTTTTTCTCTGCTTTAGCGCTATCACTATAAATTGAATATGTTTTGAACTTTTGGTCGAACAAAGCAAGTAGTTTGAAGACATCACCTCGAGCTCTGGGAAATTGCTGTGTTTTTATAAAATACAATTTTAAAGTATTTAACCGATTTCATTTAAAAAAAGGTGTCTGACTAGTGAAAAAGTTGCAGCATAACTGTGAAGTAATGATGTGTTTAAAGGTGCAATATGTAACTTCTAGCGTAGCCTCTTCATGTTCTGTTGGCAATGCTAGTTCATTATTTGAATGTGTTAAACATAGACTGTGCATCAGAAGTGGACGTAGTCATCGTGGATTGCTGTTTTGAAGCTTGTGCGCTTTGGTCGTCCCCATATTGGCTTTTTGCAGCCAGTGAGCGAAAGTGAATTTATTTCGACTGCAGAGGAGTGACAGTAAGCATACTCTGCTTTATGGTCCATTTACTAAATGAACATCATGCTGTATTGAAGAAGACTTGAAACTAGAGATTGAGACCATAAACTCATGTTTACAATGTTTATTACTGAGGTAATAAATCAAGAGAGAAGTAGAGTCATTTTCTCATAGACTTCTATACGATTGGCTAAGTGGAGAGCAGGGCCGTCCTTCAATCAGAGGATCGGCGGTTCGATCCCCGGCTCCGGTTCCGCTAGGCACATGTCGATGTGTCCTTGAGAAAGACACTTAACCCCAAAATTTCTTCCGGTGTGATAGGATCTAAATTGTAAGTCGCTTTGAATAAAAGCATCTGCTAAATTACTGTAATATACAATCTGACTTCTTTTTGCAATCAGAGGAGTCGCCCCCTGCTGGTCAGTAGAGAGAATGCAGTTTTTTAAGACACTTGATCATTGGCTTCACTCTTCAGAACCGGAGGTTGCCGCCTGGTTTTAAACTAAAATTCTGGCCACATGTTACACATGCCTACACACCCTAACCCTAGTAATAAGATGAAAATGTGTGCAGGCTTAACGGTGCGTCTCTGTCATCACAGAAGCTGCAGCAGAGAAGAAAGCAGAAACCTAACACCCCCTCGACCTGCGTTACTTCTCAACACAGGTGAGATTGCTGTTTTTTGCAAATTTTGGGCCATTCTGTGCTGCCTCGGAGCTAATATTTAATAATTAAATTTTCCCCTTAGTGCTCAGGGAACCTCAGAGCCAAATTCTCGCCCGCTGTGCCTCGCAGAGGACAGGATGGAACTGAAGGTGCGGCCGGTTGCTCAGCACTGCGGCCACAGGGAACACAAGCACACAGGTTTGAGAGGGAGCAGACACACACCGGCCTTTCCCTGCCACCGCCTACCTCCTATGAGTCCTGATCCGCATGAGGAACCGTCCCCAAACCCAAAGGTAGGGAGCCCGAGCGGCCATGGAGAGGGGGATAGTGACACCGACTTGTCTGAGTCGGAGAGACTTCCTGCGTCGCCCTGTGGTCGCGTTCCTCCACAGCTCCAGCTGAGGCCGGAGGTCATCGAGGCTGAGGACTGCTCCTCTTGCAGGCCCAGAGGACACAACCACGGTGGTTTGGACTTCCCAGACTTCCTCCCTCCGCCTTTCAACTCCTGGAGCCTCGGTCAGCTGGCCGTCTTCTACAACACGGAGGGCCGGGGGGCCCCTCGGCCCAGGCCCGTGGGCCCTTTGGAAAGGTACATTGAGAGGATGCTGCAGCTGGAGTGGCGCCAGATTCAGACTGTCCAGGAGGAGGGCGGGATGCCGGCGGTGTCAGATGTCGTATCCAGCTGCCATAGGTCGTTCGCTGCCGCCTCGTCGCGCCTCAGCTCTCCGAAGTGCATCCTCCAGTGTCAACGTTCCTTCCCCCTCAACTTCCTGTCCTCTCTGGCCAGTCACTGCGCCCTGCTCTCCGGTTGCGCCTGCACCCTCTGCCGCCTCCGCTACTCCGCCTGCAGCACGCCATCGTCGTGCTGCCGCTCCCCCCGCCAGTCCAGACTGAGTCCCACGCCGGAGTGCAGCAAGGGCCCCGCATCGCTCCCCAAAAGGAGCTACAGCGAGAGCCGGGTGTACTCCGCGGACAGGAGCTCTGCGTCCCGAGCTCAGAGGTTCGGCAGCCCCGCGAGGACCAACAGCCACCTGAGGAGAATGCAGGCCTCAGGCAACATCCGCAACCCCGTTCACGGTGCTAACGCCAAGCCTCAGTCCACTGCCAGAGACTCAAGTGTCGGAGACCGTTTGGGAGCGCGGGGGGGCGTGTTGGACTACAGGCCTGGGGGATTTCGGAGGAGGAGTGGCTCTGAGCAGAGAAGAGGTGGAGTCGAGAGACAACAAGGTGCATCGGAGAAAAGACGAAGCGGCTCCGAGTGTAGAAGAGGAGGAGCCGAGTGGAGGAGAGAGGCTGAGCTCAGGGAACAAGAAATAAAACCAGATGCCCTCACTGCAATAATGGACAATTTACCTGGGTCCAAGAATTGTCCAATAAACCGACCAAACAGACCGAAACAGGTTGAATTTGTTACATAACAGCAAGTTGAGGGTTGTGAGTGTAATCACAGCTGCAGTCACTTTTATTATTTGATTATGAATGTATATTTTCAATATTTTTTCCTTATTTGAACAGACTGACAAAGTGCAGCAAGACTGTAAATGTACTTTTTTGTCTTGAGTGGATGTTTTGCCAGTTTTTTAGCTATTTATTGTTGCATTACTACATTTAATCCAATTGCAGTCAAATAAGCTAATTCGACTGTGGATGTTTACATGCATTATCGATACATACAATAAATCCTTTGAGCATGTGGATATTTATTATAGTTTTCGATTGAAATCAACCCAGGGAGCCTTCGTCAGCACAATACACAATGTATATATTTGTACGCAGGAGTTTTCAACACACCACTAGTGATTCTGTTTTGGTCAGTCTAAAAAGTAACTGCATAATTAAAGTTTACCAAACAATTGTAATTGAAGTGTGTGATTCATCAAAGTCATGGGTACACATGTGGAAAAAGCTCTGTGAAGGTAAAGGAGGAAATACTGGCGGAAACCTTGCTGCATCCGGCAAGACAACTTCAAGTTTGAGATTTTCTGAGGTCAACTCAGTGTCTGGACCTCATTCCAATATACCTTTAATGGCTGGACCTGTATATTGCTGTTCACTTATGGTCTCTGTGGCTCTTAACAGAGCCTGATCAGTTTGGAGAGAAGAATGGGGGGAGATTTTGCAAAGCGGGACAAATAATCCCATTGAATCAATCACAGCCTATTTTGTCAGGTGATAACGTCCCAGAGGAGATCTGAGCGGTGGAGGTGAGTCATTGTAGTAGGCTAATGCAGTTTGAGTGTTGAAAGATAAATGCCCATTGGGATACATACACTTAGAATGAAAGTTTGTTTTCTTAATGTAGCTTTGAAAATACTTTGTGTACACCTTTGTATATTACAGATCGTGTAAATGTAAGCCTCTAAAAAGAAAGAAAGAAATAGATGTTCACATCACAAAATGTTTGTCAGAGAAACTAAGTTGCTAAAATACAGGGCAAGTAAATATTATCCTGGTGCTAAATGCTGGTGTATCTTAGATTAATGTTCATATCTATCATCTATAAGGACTGTTTGAGGGGAATTGTCACCAAGCGGACCGTTCTGATTCCAGTCGTTGTTTCAGGCCGGACGTATTTTTGAGGTGACACAGCCACCATGGACGCCGTACCCGTGCGTGTTTTGGAGTACTTGACAGAAGTTGAGGAGGCAGCTGAGGATGTTCTCACCACTAAGCAACAGGTCATTCAATACTTACTGGGCAACAATAAGCTGTTAATGATATGCAGCGCAGGGTCACCTGGGAGAACCGACACGTAAGCTGCCACTGAGAATGTTAGCAGCTAGGCTAGCTAGCTCGCGCTTCACAGCTAGTTTATCTTAAACTACATTTCCATTTCATAAACGTCAAAATGAATAAACCCAACATGGCTCGGTATCTCTGTGCTGATATTGGTAGGACAGAAAATAACGAAATACATAGTACAATACAAAGCAGCACTGTAACAGTAGATAACATACATTAGTTAACATTAGCAAGTACTACTAACTTGAATTAAAACCGTTAACAGACGCTGTTGGGCTTTCTAGTACACATCCTGCTGTCCAGTGATTATTAAATCTAGTATTCTTTGATAAAATGAACCAGTACAGTAGTAGATGCAGAATATGGGCAGAAAGCAACAGTGTTCTCTCTTTTCATGAAAGAAGCCACCAATGACAAATGACATTTCTTTGATAAATACAGAAGCTAGTCTGGAAATGTGACTTGAAACTTTATTGTACTGCATTATTTTGACAGTGTTTCATTTAGTTATTTAATACGGGGATGTATATTGCCATGATATACAATGGGAACGCATTTAAATGAATGCCACTTTGCAAAGTCCGTATGCCAATATTGTAACAATTTTCCCCTTTAAACACTGACATTACATATTTATACTAAAACTAGTCAATGACTGTTGATATTAATGTATTTTTCCATTTTCTCACATACCATAATGACAAAGCATCACCTGCTGTGTATACGTGTGGAGAACTCATGCTCTCTGTGGGTGTTTCAGATAGTGGACCTGGACACAAAGAGAAACGGGAACAGAGAGGCCTTGAACGCACTGAAAAATGAAATGTCAGATTCAGGTGAGCGACCGGTGACAGGAGGTTGTCAGAGAAGAGAAATTCAGACAGTGATGTCAGGACACATTGGCTTAGTTTGAGAAAACAGTCATTCACATTACATTTCATTACATTACAGTCATTTACATTACATTACATTGCATTACAGTCATTCACAGTGGAGAGGGAGTCGGCTGTACGGTTGTAGTAACGCTCACTGCTGTCATCTGCAGAGAAAGTGAAGGTATGCTTCGGAAACATGTTCATCAAATTTCCCAAAGCGAAGACGAGAGAGATGATCCAGAAAGGTAAAACAAAAATACAATTTTAATTTATTGGCTTGATTTCCATCATAGATTTGAATATAAATAGATTTGTGTTTACATGTTGTAGCCACATGTGAGATCACCCTGAACTCTTTTGATCTTTCTCTCTCACCTGTTAGACCAAGAGCAGCTGGACAAGGAGATAAACGACCTCCGTACAGCACTGAAAGCGAAAGTCAACCGTCTAAATGTGATGCAAGGTACTGAGGAGCGTCTCCGCTGTCCGGTTGGCCCACTGCGCCAGGCTGGTTAGAAGGAGTGGGTCGACATTTAGGGAAATGATACTCTCATGTCTCATGTTAAAGGGATATTTCAGATGTTTTATGAGGTACTTCTCCATGGTCAGTGTATTACAGTAGATGGAGTTTGTAGAAGCAGACAGGAGTACCATGTTAAACACATGTTAAAAAACAACACTTTGTGGACACATCAGAAGAGCCAGACACGCTGCCTCTCTGGAACCTTGTCACCGTCAGGCTGTCTGGCAACCAACCTGTACAAAGCGTTTATTAATAAGCGTAATTCCCAAAGCTATAAGGAGACAGCCATTGGGACCATGCACACGGTAAACACTATGGACACCTGTAGAGTCTAGTGCAGCACATGCTCATAAGATAAGATGTGGAACTGGTTCTAATTGGCAGAACTTCCCTTTAAACAGCACATATTCATCAGAATCTCTGATGTTTTTACTTTGTGTCACCTCAGTCATTTCTGAAACTTGGACCATCTTCATGGATGCTGATATGTCCTTAAACTCGGATATCTTCCAATGGTTCAGGGAGGCCTTGCAACTACTGACATCACTGCAAAGCAGAGTCACACTGAGGGACAATTTCACAAAAGATTGCTGCTAAGCTAATAGCATATTGGTGCTCCTGTGCTATTTGCACATACTTCAATAATAATATGCAGACACATCAAAATGAGCCTCATTGCAAAAACAGTCCAATTCACAAAGATCAGAGCTAACAGTCACACGCAGTCACAGTGAAATTATTGTCATCATAGAGTTGGTAACTAAACCGCGTTTATCGTGGTGGATGCTCAAACAAAAAAACAAAAAAAAAGAACCTCCGTAGAAAAATTCAATTTGCACTCAGCTGCAAAACTTGACGTGCTTGTTTACGCTGTCATATCATAAGCTAATGACTTTGTGAAGCGGAGAATATGAGGGATGCAAGTGATGAGCAATTCATCAGCGGCCGCAATCTCATTGTGATTGTCCTCCCAGCAGTGTGAGCATGACGTGTGTCTTTCTCTTTGTTTGCAGGAAAACTTGAGCTGAGAGGCTACAATCTTTCTCCTCTGTCCACCGATGAAGTCCGAGCTATTAACAGCCTTCTGAAGAGATGACATCGGATCTGCTGACTGCGGAGAAGAGAACATGTTGACAAGATGCCGAAGAGCCTCTGATCAGCTCATGCTAGCTACGTTAGTCTACATCTCCATCACCTGCCTTTTTGGATTTTTCTTTTTTAATTGTTGTCAAAACATTGTATTCTTTGTCTCAAATCTACAAAAAAAGACTCAAAATGAATACAGAAAGTGTATTTTAGCCACTCCCTCGTTCCTCTCACATGTTGAGGTTCGACTCCAACATTGTTCAGCCATCTAGATGAGACGCTTCGCCAGATGACCTGTATTTTGTAAAAAGAGATGTTCCGATACCATTTGTTCCTTCTTGATACTGATGCCTGAACTTGCGTATCGGTCGATGCGGATACCGATCTGACACCAGTGCGTTCAAAACCGAAAAAGTTAAACCGGTCATAAAATCATACAAGATGAAAACATCTCCTTCACACAACTGAATTTATTCAAGTTTTATTACAAAAAAACTACATTTTACAAGATTGCATTTGAACACATCATGATAGTAATTTACCTTTGCCCGATACTCTTTTTACTGAATAGAGCCTGAACACACCACGACATAACTTAATGCAACCTGCGTTAGCGTTAGCTGTTAGCACACACAGGTGCTTAGACGATCACACAGGTCGTAACCAAACTAGCACTTTATTTGGCGGTAAAAATGGAATGTCGGTTGACTGCTCCCGTTTCTTGTCCATTGGACCCGTTTTTAGGTCCAATAAAACTCAACTTTGGTGAGTACAGCATTGTAACCGAGGAAGATAAGATCTAATAAACAGTTTTACTTTAAATTCGGTCTTTTCAAGGTCTGGGGCTGTGGGCCTCCCCTCTGACTAAGCTCAGCCCCCCCCTTTACTTTACTGGATTAGTCCCGCTGTAGTCCTAAAGGCCTACAGCATCAGGATCCCACAGACACTCAACCCATTCAACCCAAAATTTCTGTTTGACATAACTTGAGACTATGACCACGTGGTGGCGGTGTACAGCAGAAAGACAGAGCTTCTAACACGTGGTGTTGATGAAGTGCTGCTTTATGTAACCTGCACCACAATCTGTTCTTGGTTTAAACTTGTGTTTTCTTGTGCAAATGTTTATGTTTTCTCATTGTTCAACTATTTTTTGCAGGTTTCTGTCCTTTAACTTTATTTACTACCTCGTCTTATACATAAATAAATGAAATATGTTCATGATTTGGTGTTTTTTTGCCAGTGAGAGTTGCTCTCACTCAGTATGAGTTTTTGGTTTTGGTTTTTTTCTGTCTCTGACTCAGACATACCGTACATCCTTAATTACAATGTGACAACCGGCTTGGGAATAAACTGTAAGTAGGTGTATTGTGTGTAATTCCGTTGTGCATGAGTAGACATGGGCCGCCCCGGGCTGCAGCCATCGATACAGGAGGGGTGAGTGTGTGTGTTGCGGGGGTGGTGGAGGTGGTTTTGTTTTCACACTCTCCTCAGACTTTGGTTGCGTGCCACCGCTCTCAGACCTGCAAACCGGCTCTGAGTGATGACTTTATGAGTCAAAGGATGGGAACCGCGCCCGGAGAGGCACGCAAAGGCGCTATGTTAAGAAAAATGAGGCGCTGCGTTCTATTCTACCTCCACCTGCGGGACTGCAAACCGATGATCGACTGTTCAATGTTCCCCTCCCCCACTAAACTACTAGAGCTAATTATTCACGCCAACAGCAATACAACACAAAGCTGTACATTGTGTAATTATAGTGGGTGGAGACTTGGCTGTACAGTGATACTACTGGCATTGAGCTATGGACTTTACCACACTGAAAAAGAAGGATTTTATTTCCACATGGATTTGTTTTGGCCAACAGATGGCAGCAGTTATCTATGGCTGGGACTTATGACCCGGAAAACACAGTCCTACGACAGGATGGAGTCATGGTACCTGGTAAAATTTAGAATTTGATAACAATACAACAGAAACTTAATATTTTACAAGTGGTTTACTAAGAGTGCGGCAGCGTAAAAATGCATTTGGAGGCTTGCGTCACCACTTCAAAATGCATATACTAGTTTGTCAAAATGCATATACTATGATAAACATGGTCTTAAATTTGAACTAAAGTTTATTTATGTCAATGTCTGGTTAACTATATCATATTTAACCATTGTCAACTTTCACACATTCTTGAAAATTCTCATGAACCAGACTTTGCTCTTGATAATCGGTCTCAGGTACCTGAGTCACGGTTTACAATTTCAGCTTTGAAAAGCTTTACCCAAAGAAGAGAGGCGGGCATTGTCTTTCAAAGCGGACTCTCGTTGGCTGTTCCAGAATGTGACCGGGCTATAGAAGCTCCTATTGGGTCAAATGAGGTGTCAATCTAACCGGCGGAATGCAGCCTCCATTTTGCGATGAAAATCTCCGCTCTGTTGACATGAAAAGTGAAATAATCACCGAATTATGATCGCAAGTTATCATATCTGCTGGCTAATTTGAAATGATGCAACAGCCCCCCGTGGGTCTTTATGGACGTACTAATGTGTTTTGGACTAAATCTTTTGCTGGATTCGACCGAGTGGACCCTTAGTGATCAAACAAGATGGTTTTTGCTGGACTAGCAAGCACGAGGGGGACATTATGAATCATAATCGGTGAGTCACGGCGATATTTTATCGGCTATTTTTGGAGTGCTTGTTTGACAGAGACGTTAACTGTACCTGCTGTTGTTATTGTATCTTGAAATGGTTTGCATAAATCGAATTACAAGAACCGTAGCTTTATAATGAGATATCACATTAATACTCATCGTTACAGAGCAGTTGTGTACATAACACAAATCCTCACTTAACACACTTAACACACTTAACCTCATCTCACTCTGACGGCCCGCCCGTGGGCCGTCAGAGTGAGATGAGGTTAAGAATTAGGATTTGGGAGTGACGCGGATATGAAAGCTAGTTTATCCATCTTTCCTTTACAAGCAGGAAAATTATTTCTCTCTCTTTATTTGAGAAAAGTTCATATTTGTGTTGTCAAATTTCACTATGACCCTGAAATTCTGTCTCTTGTGTTATCATATACTGAATGCAAGCAAAACTACAGAGCAACATCACACTCTTTCTGTTTGAACCAATCTATGAACTGTCTGAAACAATGGATATCCACGGCCCCAAATGGGCCCCAAAAAAAATTGCGCGCAAACATGCCACTCCCCTTTGGGGGCTAAGCCCCCCCTTTCTTTGAATCCTAGAAACGCCCCTGATTGTAAACATGAGTTTATGGTCTCAATCTCTAGTTTCAAGTCTTCTTCAATACAGCATGCATGATGTTCATTTAGTAAATTATGGTCCATTTAGAGTCAAACAGAGATTTTGAGTTTTCTTTTGTGTGTGTGTGTGTGTGTGTGTGTGTGGCTTCTTCCTACTGCCAGACTGAGTTGCTTACTGTAGGGGGAAATATCTCATTCTGCTGTCATCATTGCATTCTGCAGGAGCGGCGTACTGATTTACAACGGTTGTTTGGCTGCCGGTGGGCGCGGGGACCTCTCACACTGTGTGCGGTTCAAAGGCGAACCTTGACGAAATAAGTAAGGGGGATCGGTTTCACGTGCAGGTGCAGAGGTGCTTTATTTGAACAGACTCGGCCGAGGGTCGTGTCGGTGAACTTGAGTGGAGGAGACTTTATCATTAATCAGTGAGAGGGTTAAGCCTGACAGCGCATTAGGGACAGTAGGACAAAGACAAATACATGCACGGAGGCAGGGAAGGTAGTATAACGAGAAAAAACACACACAAAGTTCCGAGATTAAAGTGTGGATTTCGTTGCTACTAAGGTGTTATTATAGTATAGTATATATAGAGTGCTGCAGGAATGTGTCCTAAAACCTGGAAATGACTCAGCATTATTGAACTTCCCCTTCCCTCATCTTGAGGTCAACAGGTTTTATAAATGTTTTTTTTTCTTTGGTTAGATGCAGGCGGCAACCACAGGTTTTGAAAATTGAAGCCAATGCGGAAGTATTCTAAACTTGCATTCTCTCTAATGTCCATCAGGGGGCGACTCCTCCAGTCGTATAGAAGTCTATGAGAAAATGACTCTACTTCTCTCTTGATTTATTACCTCAGTAAACATTGTAAACATGAGTTTATGGTCTCAATCTCTAGTTTCAAGTCTTCTTCAATACAGCATGATGTTCATTTAGTAAATGATGGTTCATTTAGAGTCAAACAGACCATAAAGCAGGGTATGCTTTAGGGCGGGGCTACCCTGTGATTGACAGGTCGCTACCATTACTAGAGCCATATATGGCGTCTTTACGTCACTCCCCGCAGACCAAATATGGTCACTTCTGTTCACTGGTTGACAGCTGAAATACCAAACTCGAGGCTTCAAAGGTCCACAAACTAATGGCTGACGTCATGATGACTATGTCCACTTCTTATATTTCATGTTATATCTATGTTTAGATGCCTAAAATTAGGTCAGTGGTTAACGCAAATTTAAGGGATTTTTACATTTTCTTGTACAATAAATGAAATGCGTATTACAAGTCTTAAAGAAGGCAGTTGATAACAAGTCGCTAAATAAGGCTGGGAAACGTCTTCACGCGGTTCTTTTGTGACGTGTAAGTGTCATGAATTTGTGTTTGCCACTGAGCGTAGTTTCTGCAATAATCCCAAATCCAACGGAACAATCCTGTTGGCTTTTTGTTGAGGGAACCAGTGTGATGCTAACTTCCTGGTTGGCCTGCAAATATACACTGTACGGTAAGGATGGCCTCTGAATAAGGCGAAGCTCCTGAAAAATACGTACACGCATTTTCTTTCGTGTTCTTTCTGTGTTCTTTTATTAACACAATGCGGACATCAGTATGCATTGTACCTTATTCTCATGTTAGACCAATGGGTTATCAGATTAGTCCTAAAGATTGCTGTTTCCAATATCCTCTCTGGTGAACGGCATCTGAAGGAGGCAAAAGGTCCTTAAAGAGTTATTTCATGTTTATTATTTTGTGAACATGAATTAATACTAATATTGTAGAAGTTACAGGAAAGTAGAGACAAACAACATGTATCTTTGACTACATAAGGGCATGTCTTTTATTTGCTGTTGAGAAGATGTTACTCCAAACACACTGCGTTACTGTGTGAAGGGAAGAGAACACAGACAAGGCACATATCATAACTGCTTGTGCGTTGTTTTACTTTCACGCTAACACAGTGACAATAAGAGATGAGAATGGAAATATGAATGGATGGATGTTCAGTGTTAAACCATGGCATCTGTGGTCTGATGAGGTTGAGCAACCTTACAAAATGAGGCGATGTGGTTCCTTAACAATAAACCCTCAAAATATCTTTCATCACAGCACTCGTTATATTTTTTTTCCCTGTAAATTTGCTAATTTTAATCTCAAAATATCCAAGTTTTTGTCTCGTAATTTTACGATTTACATCTAAGAAATTCCGCGTTGTTTCTTGGAATATTACCCACCACTCTCTATTACCTGGGCAGTAGTAGGTTCTAGGCTAAGAAGGTAAAATGCCATTCACTGGTGTAGGGGGAAGTTGGCAGCTTGCTTTGAGACTGCGGCTTTCGTTTGTTTGGTGTTCTTTTTCTTTAGTTTAAATGAAGCATCGCATTAGTTCATGCAGGACACGGAAGCCATACGCCCCCAGCTGTGATCAGCTGACAGCCAGCCGATTGAATCATCACTTCCAATCGGCCACACACCAATCACACCTCAAGGAGGTTCATTTAAATATGACGCCCCCTCACTGATCCTTTCTACACCAATGATTTATTTATATATGCTAATTAAGAACACGATTAACACATATCATTTGTTATAATAAACGATTATCTTTCCTTCATTCACTCGGTATCTCCTGATTGAAAAATGTGCCGAGTTGTGCAGTATCGAAAAGGTGGCATCTGCTCGGCCAGATTCATTTACTCCTCTTCACATTATCCTGTAATAACTGATTCTTTCTTTTTGGCCACTGGGGGGCAGCAGAAGCAAATTGTGAATATTTACATATAAAAAACTTTTAAATTGATGCGACAATGTTAGCAAACAATTGCACAGTTGCACATCCAGCAGACACAGAGCAACATTAGTGTTCACTTGTGTTTATGGCCAGCTGCTGAATTTAAGTCCAATATTCACTCTCTTCTGGCTGTGCGTTTGGTCTCCACTAACTCCTGAGGGAGTTTTCCGAGATTAAAGTCGTAAATTTAAAAGAAAAAAACTTGGATATTCTCTGAGATTGAGTGGAAAATTTACAAGGAAAAACTCCAATCAAACCACAGATGCCACATTTAAACACTGCAGTAATGAGAGCCGCTGGAGGCAAAAGTTGTCTGTCTCTACTTTCCTCTAACTTTTACAATATTGGTATTTATTTATATTCATAAAAGAAAACGTGTATATGTGTCTTTCAGGACCTTCGCCTCGTTCAGACGTCATTCTTACC